ATTTTAAATATATTTTAAATATATTCTAATAATATTTCAATAATATTTTAATTATATTTTAAGTATTTTTTAAATATACGTATTTCTTATAGGGAGTGTAGAAATTGAATTAATTAATAAATATTTTACTAGTACAATAAAAGAAACTATATGTTTTTTTTTGTATTAAAAAAATATAATTATTAAAATGCTATTTTTTTGTAGTTTACTTAAAAAAGCTTTTGAAAAAAGTTACTTGAATAGATTGTAATTAGTGATTAACCATTTACTGTGATTGAGGAAAAGAAATTCAAACAGATAATAAAGTTATTATATAATGATGTATCAATACCTTCTGCTAAAACTATATGTCGTGATTTGACTTATAATTTTAAAAAAACAAAAAATAAAGTTAAACAGCAATTACAAATAAGTAATTTGTAAATAATTTTAATAAATTTTATACATTTATTAATATTTATATTATAAAAAATAGAAAATATCTAAATTTTCATTTACTATTGATGCTTGGACTAGTAAAATACTTTACCTTTCCTTGAAATCACTGTACACTGGATTGATCAGAATTAATAACTATTTAATTCTACTTTGAATTTTTTTCTTTTATCTGAACCATATTTAGGAGAAAATTTAGCTAAAAAATTTTTGAACATTTTACAAGATTTTAATATTGCAACAAAGGTAGATATTATTTATTTTATTTTTAAATTGTTTTATAAAATCTAATAATAATTTAAATTTTTAATTATAGTTGTTAGCAATTACATGTGATAATGTATCTAATATGGATATCATGTTATTTAGAATTTCTTATTCTTTAAGTAATTATAATATAACTTTTGATCCTCAACATCAACATGTCAGATGCCTGGTTCATATTATTAACCTTGCAGTAAAAAAAGCACTTAAAGATCTCAATATATCAGGATTAGATATTGATAAAAATATTCTTGAGGAAGAAATAGATGAAACAATGAAAAATTAAAAAATACAATATATAAGGTAATTTTAAGATAATTATTATGTAATTTATTTTAAATATTATTTTATAATAATCTGTATATTTTATTAAAATTTTAGTTAAGAAAACTGGTAATTAAAATTAGATCATCACCACAATGAAGAGAAAAATTTCATCAACAATGTTCTATAACAAATTTATCAATATTAGAATTGATACCAGATATTAAAACAAGATGGAATTCTACTGAGATCATAATAGAGAGAGCATTAAAACTACAACATATATATTTATTTTTAAATTTATTAATGTATAATATAAATAAATATTAAAATCTTATTTTTTTAAATTATATATTACAATATCAATAATTATTTATAGTTTTGATTTTGATCTAAATCCTTATTGACAAGGCTTCTTGCTAACAAAATGCTATAAAAAAACTCTAATGATATAATAGGCACTTCATAATATTTCTTCTTCTGATAAAGATCTTAAAAAATACATTATTTCTAATGATGAATAGGATTTCATTAAAGAAATACATAAATTATTAATGGTATGTAATTTATTTAATTTTTTGAAACATTTTTTAATATATAACTTAGATATTAATATTATTTTATTTTCTATATAGCCTTTCAAACAAGTCTCTAATTATATTACTGGTCAAAAATATTCTACTTTATCTTTTTCTGTACCTGTTTATAATTATTTATTGAATAGATTGGAAGAAGAAATTGATAACAATTCAAATCTTACAATTAAAAGAGTAATAAGATCTGTAGAGAAAAAAATTAAAATCATAATATCCTACTACTAATGGTAATGTGTATATAGTTGCTATAGTTAAATATATTTTATTTATACATTTATATTTTTAATTTTATTAATTACTTATTATTTACTTATTATTAATATTTTACTATTCAATTAAAGTTCTAGATCTTAGATTAAAACTACAATATTATCATGATAAGAAATGAAAGCAATTTTATATTGATGTTGCAAAAAGAACTGTAACTAATATTTGGGAAAATTACTATAAAAACAACAATGAAATTATAATTGAACCAAATAAAGCAGATAAACTTCTTGCTCATGTTTTCAAAAAACAAAAATATAATCAAGTGATGAATTAAAAAAATTTTTAAAAGAAGGAGTTATATCTTTTACAACAGATGTATTATCATGGTGGAAGGTATGTTTATTAAATTAATTATTAATTAAATTTATACAATATATTGTTTTTTATTAATTTTACAATTTTACATTATATTATTTCAGAGTCATGAAATACAATTTCCTTATCTTAGTAAAATGGCTAAAGATTATTTAGCTATTCCTACTACTAGTGCACCTGTAGAAAGAATTTTTTCTGGAAGAACAGATTTGGTTGTTCAAAGAAGATGTAGTTTAAAAGGAGAAACAATTCATGAAGCAATATGTCTCAAAAGTTGGTTAAAATCTGATCTTGAAGAAATTAATATAAAAAATTTAGAAAATTAATTTTAATTTTTTTTTTCAAATATAAAAAAATACAAAAATTAAACATGATGATTTTTTTATTATTATATTCTATATAATATTAAATATAATACATTTATTATTTAAATTTTATATATTTTCATTAATTTTCAAAAATAATAATAAAAATTTAATTCTTTTAATTTTATAAATAATTTTTTAATTATTGTTTAGTTCTTTATTTAATTAAATATATTAAAATTTGTAAATTCACATTAAAACTTATAAGTTTATATTAAAATTCAAGAGTTTTCATCAAAGTTTATAAGTTGATATTTGCATTAGACAAACTTTATCAAAGTAAATTTATATTAAGACTTGAGAGTTTATATTAAGACTTGAGAGCTCATATTAAGGCTTGAGAATTCATATTAAAGCTTGAGAGTTCATATTAAGGCTCAAAAGCCCATATTAAGACTTGAGAGTTCATATTAAAGCTCGAGAGCTCATATTAAGACTTGAAAACTCATGTTAAGGCTCAAGAGCTCATGTTAAGGCTTGAGAATTCATATTAAGGCTTGAAAGCTCAAGAGTCAAACCAAGCTCAAATTATATAGGCTTGACTTGACCTGAGTCCAATTTTTAAACTTAGGCTCAACCTAAGTTCAAGTTTTTTGAGCTTGACTAAGCTCGAGCCCTATAGGGCTCAACCAAATTCAGCTTACAGGAAGCTTTAGGTGTAACCATTCATGTGCGGTGGAGTATGAGATACTGGTTTTTTTTTCTATTTCAAGAATAGGAATCACCTCATCTTCAATAAATTTAACAAAATTACCAATTTTCAACTTGAACTTATACACATGTAAATATTCAATAACTTGTAACTTGAGATCTTCATGAAGAAGAGATCTAATCTTTGCATGATGACCATGTTTTGATATAATAATTACACCATTGTTAAGTCATTGATTTGTCCAGGAATGAATAAGCTGTGCCTGTCATGGACCTTTGTTTAAGCTTTGAGCAAGAAGATTGCTTGCATCTATCTTGGTAAATCCTCGATCCCAAACTAGATAAAGAAATTGACTTACAATTTGAAGTCAAAAATCTTTTTTTTTTCAATAAAGTATCCAGAGATTCTAAATAAATTTATTATCATTATCACTGTCAAACATGTAATCTGTATTGGATTCAATTACTGGAAAAATTTCAGCAATCTTCATAGAATCTGAAGTAGCTTTTCTCCAATAAGCCCTTTTATTACACAATGTCGATGGTGCTGTACCATTGTATACTGGTCCACACGAATTTTTAGCCTATACATTTGATTTTTTTGTATTTTTAATAAATTGTTCTAAAATATTTAGTTGTGTTTCTGGTATTTTATCTGTAAATTCGTCATTATCAAAGCGCGTTTCTTCACCTTCTATCCAAAAATTGCTAAACAATGATTCATTAAGCCTTTCAGTGTCTGATAATTTGCAACGTTTCATGATAGAATCCCGGGACTGTCTAGTGCGTTTGTTTAACTTTGGCATAATTATTTAAAAAAAAGACGAATAAAAAAAAAAACGGCGAAAAATCCATTTTCAAAATGATCAAACATCACATGTTGAATTTTAGCCAATAAAATGATCAGCATAAATTTCAGTGGTGGCTTAGTTATTTGATGTGACTAGACCGTTTGCACCATATATAATCACAATCTTTCTATAATCGCCAAATTTGATGTGTGATTATAGAGAGACCCGAAATTTGGTTTTTTTTTTTTTAAAAAAAACACAATTATTTATTTATTACAAGTCTAATTACATATTATTCTTAAAATAACAAAGACACTTTTGTTCATAAACATTGCAATGATCTACTCAGGGATTTACCGTGTTTCTACGTTCGAATCAATTTAGGCAAAAATTTTGTCTCCAAAAACTGTCGTTCAAGCAAAACCAAACTTTAAGATTATTACAAAAAAAAAAAAAGAAATTCTTTTTGGAGAAGTAAAGAAAAAAGATAATAATATTGGTTTGGAATCTGGTTACTGGTAAGTGGATAAATTTGGAAATTCATTTATTAATACGTGATGGCATTTTGTTACAACGAATAAATAAATAATTATAATGTTTTTTATTATTTCTTTTTTACAACTAATATTATGAATTTATATGAATATAATTTATGAAGAAAAGAAATAATAAAATGAAATAAAAATAAAAATAAAATTAAAAATTAGTAAATTTGGATATTTCAAAATGAATTAAAATAAATGTTATTAAATTACCTTGAATAACATCTTCATTTTCTATAATATGAGATAAACCAACTCTTTGTGGATTATGTTTGGCGGAAATCCCCTTTTTATAAAAGAAAAATAAAGAAAATTTAATTTAATATGCAAATTCATTTTTTTTTTTTTAATAATGATGTGACTTACCCAAACAAGGGCATATCTAAATTCATCAACTAAAGATCGGTGAACTGCATGACACTGATAAAAATCAAAAATTATTTATTTAAATAAAAATTATCAAATTAAATAAAAAATTAAATAAAATTAAAATAAAAAATTAATTAAATTAAATCTTAAGATTTAAATTTTTTATACAAACCACATGTTCAACGGTTGAACCTTTTCTAACAATAAGACCACCATCAAAATCAGGATATTCTCCTCTTTTCTTAGTATAAACTCTCAGCAGATTAAGATTTCTCCATATTTGATCAACTAGATAATCTAAATTTAAATCCATTTCACAACTTTTTTTTTTTTTTTAAAAAAAAAAATAATTAATAAATAATATTAACAAAATCAATAAAAAAGATAAATGAATAAAATTTACCTAATAGCAATGGAATTAGGTTCACGTGCCAAATGATCCAATTCTTCAATACTAATTGAATCAATTTTGTTGTAACACTTGGGAAATCAAACAAACCATTAAAATAAATAAGAAAAGAAATAATGAAATTAATCACAATAATAATTTACTTACATATAAACATTTTATATATTTACGATTCCCTAACACTACATCAATAAATTCATCAACCGTAATATCTTGACGTACTAATACTTCTGCATTGAAAATCTCTTTTTTTATTTAGAATAAAAAAAAAAAAAAAAAAACAAAAACAAATAAACGTTAGAGATAACATAAAAAAAAAATAATAATAACAATAATTTTCTTTCGAATAATAATAAAAGGATACTGTAATCATGTAAAATATGATAAACCATCTTTTCATTTAGATGAGTTAATTTCATGGTAGAATTAAATGCAATTCCCCCTCCCTTTTTCACCTACGAATTCAAAAAAAATTCAATAAATAATTTTTTTTTATAAAATAACAACAGCATATATATAATATATCTAATTATATCTAATATATCTTTACTTTAAAATAAACATTTGGTTTGTCTGTATTCAATCTAATCCCTACAGCTTCCAATTCACGTTCCAATAAAGTTCTAAATAATATTGATTTTTATTAATAAGTGTAAGGAAAAAAAAGTAATATATAAATATCTATAAAAAAGATACCTTTGTTGACCACTTTTAGTAGCATCCAACATCATCAATACTAAATCTGCTGTTCTCGCCACTGCAATAACTTGTCTTCCTCGTCCTTTGCCTATTATTATTTTATTATTATTTTATTATTATTTTATTACTTATTTTATTACTTATTTTATTATTATTTTATTAATTATTTTTATTATTTAACTCAATAAATAAAAAGTACAAGATCTTCTTCTATGCCCTATCAATAATTTCCAATAAATTTTACCTTGAGCTGCTCCTTCAATAATACCCGGTAAATCTAATAATTGTATATTTGCTCCATTATGTTCAATTTTACCAGGTATACACGTTAAAGTAGTAAATTCATATGCTCCAGCTTCAGAATGAGTTTTGGTTAATTTATTTAATAACGTGGATTTTCCCACTGATGGAAATCCAATTAAAGCAACTCGAGCATCACCAGATTTCATAACATCGAATCCATCTCCCTGAATTTTTTATATAAGAGTCAGCCAGATTTATTTTATATATAAATATTATCGATATATATATATATATAGTAAAGTCACTAACACTAAAGAATGAAAATCTATATATTTCTAACCTTCGCTCCACCTGACTTGGTAGGTTCAAGAAGTTGTACTCGATATTTTGCTAATTTGGCCTTTAATAAACCAAGGTGATACTCGGTGGCTATATAAGTATCGTTAAAACATATCAATTATAACCTAATTATATCATAATCATAACTTTAATTATAACAATTTAGAAATAGAATATAAACCTTTATTCTTTTGTGTTCTTGATATTTCTTTTTCGATTTCGGAAATTTTTTCTGTGATACCCATGTTTTTTTGAAAAGTTTAAAAGTTTTGAAAAGTGAAAAGTTTAAAGATGTAGATTTTCATTTGTTAATTTCTAGAAGATTCTTTAAATGATCATCGGGAAGTTTTTTTTTTTTTTTTTGTATAAAAAAAATTAATTTGATAAAAAACGAAAAAAAATCGATATCTCGAACGAACAAATTTTATCAAGTTTATCGAAAAATTTTTTAAAGGATGAAGCACCTTGCCGCTTATTTGCTGCTTAACTTAGCCGGGAAAACCCCCAATGAAAAGAATATTAAATCTCTTCTTGATACTGTTGGTATTGAAGCAGATTCTGATAGAATAAGTGATCTATTAGCTCAATTAGACGGTAAAGATATAAATGAGGTTTGTATTAAAAATTTTAAAATTCTATAAAATCCTTCTATAATATTCTTTCTATAATATCACCGAAACATATGTTATGACATAATACGTTGAGATATGATAACGTTAAGATATATTTATTGGATGTATTTAATTCGAAACATTTTTTTTTTAATTTTTTCTTTTTCTTTAAATAAATAGTTGGCTGCCATAGGATCGACGAAACTTGCAACTGTTCCAGCTGGTGGAGGTGGTGTTGTTTCAGGAGGTGGTGGAGCTGCTGCTTCAGGTGGAGCTCCAGCTCAAGAAGAAAAGAAAGAAGAAGCTAAAGAGGAAGAAAAAGAAGAATCTGATGATGTATGTTTTATTTTCGTTTATTTTATTTAATTTTTATTTAATACGTTGTTTTGTTGTTATTATTTTTTTTTTTTTTGAATTCATTATTAAAGTTCATTTGTTGAATCCATCGTTGTTGATTTTCTCATATTTACTAATATAAAATTATTCATTATTATTCTCATTTAGGATATGGGCTTTGGTCTTTTTGATTAAGAATAAAAATTGTTACTTTGAATATCTAAATTTGAATTTGAATTTAAATTTGAATTTATATTTTGAATTTATATTTATAAATTTATATTTATGAATTTTATTATCCATTTTTTTTAAAAAAAAAATCAAAAAATCGGTAACTTAATATAATAAAGTCTTTAATTTTTTATTCAAGATTCTTTTGGGAATACAATAATGAATATATTATATCCATTAAAATTTATTGTTCATCATCAACTTGTACAGTATAACAATAACAACCAGTTTTTATTGATATGTAGTTATAATATATTTGCATCACGTGAAAGCGTACTAATTTATATACACGTGTCTCTACGTTTTTTTCAAGAAATATCTTTATACAACACTTGAATTTTCGAAATTTTACATATATTTTTTTTTGTCAGTTATAATTTGATAAAGAAAACAACAATAATGTCAGCACCATTGAAAAAAAGACGAATTTCAACTTCTCCATTTGACGGTAAAAATAAAAATTCGTGACAGTGTTATATATATTTAAAGTCCATGAAAATAATGAAATATAATGTTAACTTGATAATTATAATAACCATATCATATCGTGTGAAGAACGTCGGGTTAGCATCAATGAACCACTTAAAAAGGTTCGTCACGGTTTCTATGGTTTTTTATTTATTTATTTTTGCATTCAATTTCATTATTATTATTTTTTAATATAGATCAAACAGGAGAATATCAATAATAATGTTTCTCCTGGGGGAAACAACAACAACAATAATAATTTAAAGTCAGAACCTTTCTCACCGAAAATGTCTCAACAACAACAACAAAGTAAAGCTAGTGGTAGTGGTTCTTCTCCTTTCACAACTCGTCAAATTGGAAATACAGGTTCTAATATTACACATTCGTCTGGTCAAACTATTAATACTACTAGCAACATCCTTCCCGTATCTCCAGTTCTTTTAATTGATAATATTGAATCATTAACTTCTTCTACTACTTCCACTTCAAAAGGGAAAGGTAATAGTAATAATAATAATAATAATAATAGTAGTAGTAGTAGTACTGGTATTCATGTACAACAAAGTTCTGCATCAGCTTCAACTTCCTCTTCACAACAACAAGATAGATATCAACAACAACCAATACAAGAAACACAACAATTATCATCACAAGAATTGATGATTAGATTGACAAAGAAAGAAGAAGAAATTCAAAATTTGCTAGTAATTATTTATTTGAATTATTTTAAATTAAAATCAAATTAAAAAAATAAAAATTAAAAAAATTAAAGGAAATTAAGCAACTTAATTTTTGTTTTTGTTTTGTAGGGTGAACTTCAGAACCTTTCTCAAACACTTACACCAGATTTTACATTTGATCAATCACTTCGTAAAAAATTTCTTGATCCGGCAATTAACGCGTTATTTCGTACTATGAAAAAGGAATTGGAAGATAAAGACAAGATGATTGAAAATTTACAAAGTGAATTAGATGGTGTTAAGTTTACCACAAATAGGTTCGGTCACCACATTTTTTTTTTCTAAAAACATTCCTTTTAAGATTTCTTTAAACATCGACTTTATTTATGTATATTACAGTATTACTGGACAAAAGCTTGTTGCAAAATTAAAGGCATTACAGGAAGAGAATGAGGAATTAGGAAGACAACTTCGTCAAGGTCGTGTAGAACAATATGAAGTTGAAATAGCCATGCAACGAAAATTGATTAATGAATTAAAACATGGAGTTGAAGGTACTAAAATAACATTTCATATATATATATATATATAATATTTCAAATCATTTAAATTATTTCACATTATTCCACATTATTTCTCGTGCATCCACATAAAAAAAAAAACATGAAATAACATTTTATTTACACACAGAATATGAAAGTAAAATTATTACTTTTGATTCAGAAATTGAACACCTTCAAGATTTAATATTTCAAATACAATCAAAGTTGAAACAATATCAGAACAAATATGGTCCATTAGTACCAGAAAATAATAAAGAGAAAGAGAATGTTTCAAAAATAGCAACAACTACAACAAATAATAATACATCAAAATCAGACATTGGGGCTGTTACTGAAGAAATAAAAAGAGACGTTCATTCACAAAGAATGGATGAAGGCTAAAAAATTCGAACATTATATAGAATAACACTTTTACTACTGTATTTAAAAACATTTCAATTTTTTTTTTTTTTTTTTTTTTATTATTACTGTCAAATCAATTAATTAATTTAATATTAAAAAAAAAAAAAAAAAATTCATTTTGAAAAAACATTTTTATTTTATGAATATATTTCTTATTTTTAAATATTTATATTTTTAAAAAATAATAATATTCAAAAACAAAAATTTCATCCATCCAAGTCCAAATTCTTTACAATCTCCAAAAATTCATCATCGGACATCGTCTCCGCCCTTTTTAGTACATTATAAAATACTACTGCATGTTTAATTTTCTCTGTGTAAAACCATATACGACCATTCAATCCAATTGCAATATGAGTTTCGATATTTTTTTGAGCCAATTTCTTGTCAAGTATTTCTATTATTTTTGTTTCTAGTGAAAATAATCTATTATTTATTAAACAATTATAAAATGAAAATATTAAGCGAGAATATCAAAAAAATATAAAATGCATATATGTATATATTATTAAATTAAATTATAAAAAAAATTATTTTTCTTTTTTTTTTTAATTCAGGGAAATATTCTTTATACCAAACTTTTTACCTACCTTACACCTTACCTTTAACACTTTTACTTCAACAAGCTTACTTTAAAAGCACGCTTACTTCACAATGTTTACCTCAATTTTTGCCATCGATGTTAAAAAGAGTAGAAAATAAAATATTATTACTAACCTTCGACAATATCTCAAAGAACATTTCAATATAAATCCTTTTTTTAATTCTCCATATACAACATCAGCTTTATTAGTCGAAGGATTTTTGCAATCGATCTCCGGATCAATATCTCTATTTGCTAATGAAATGCGCGCATATAACAAATCTCCGATCTAAACAAAATAGATAATTATATATTTATATATATATAATAATAATAATAATAATAATAATAATAAGTACTTATATATAATGAAGAGTTATTTACATTCAAATTTGGTCTATTTTTTTTGGTCGCATTGTCAAACGCTAGAAAAGGTAATAAAGCTTGATGTGCACTTCCAATATCTACTCGATAAACCTCACCTATTTTACCTATAATTCTACCAACTACATTTTCTCCCGTAGCTGGAATATACTGATAAAATTTGAAAATATTTAAAAGTAAAGAAACAAATTAAAGAGATATTTTATTAAAGAAATTTATCAAACCGAAAAATAGAACTATATATAATCTATTATAAATGATTGATATAAATTATAAAAAAAAAAAAAAAAAAAAAAAAAAAAAATTTATACTCTTTTCTGATCCGAATCAATGAACCAAGAGTTTTCTTTTCTCTTAAGAACACCTGCTTTAGTACAAATTATTGACTCCTCATTTTGCATTAAACCTGGTCCAAGAATAATTTCGTCTTTTTCTGATTCTACATATACTAAATCTCCGGGAAGTACTGTTCGAACACTTTGAAATTCCATTATCAGTTATTATTCTAACAAATCTAACAAATTTATATTAGCAGATCCATGTACTACCATGGCTATTTTTAATTAGGAGACGCGATTTTTTTTTTTTTTTTTATGTAATTCGAAAAATTCGAAATGAATGAGTGAACCTAATTAAATTCATTAGGTAATTTCTTTCTTTTACTCTTTTAAATTTGAGTATTTGGAAAACGAAAAGGAAATTGTTTATATAGCACCACTTTTTAATTCAATAAAATCACGAGTAATACGAGTAATGAATATGTGTATTATTTTATTTAATCAATATAAATTGTTATTTTCCCCCACCATACATTATATAAAAGAAGATCAAAGAATAAAAGAATTAATTTCTCTCCATTCACTTTATTTATTTCTTGTAAGCTTCAGAAAAGTATTCTTCAGGTTTATTGGGTTTGATTGTCTGACAAAAAAAAATTTTTTAATATTATTAAAATTATTAAAAATTATTAATCCAAAAGAGGGGTGTCAAATATATATATTATATACCTTTGCACCAGCTTTCCAATTAACGGGACAAACTTCGCCATGTTTATCAGTAAATTGTATGGCATCGACGAGTCGAAGGACTTCATCAACGTTACGTCCTATGGGAAGATCTGAAAAGAAATAATTAAAAAAAAAAAGGTTAATGGCATTTCTTACAATAGAAAAATGATATGAAAAAATAAGGAGGATAAACTTACCATTAACAGTGATATGACGCAAAATGCCTTTATCATCAATGATGAACAATCCCCTAAGTGAAAATCCTTCTTCCTCAATGAGGACACCATATTCTTTAGAGATTTTGTGATTTCTATCGGACAAGAGAGGAATATTTAAATTTCCAAGACCCCCTTCATGCCTTGGAACATTAATCCACGCTCGATGACTATATAAATAATGTAGAAAGATAATATAATTGATAATTTTAGAAAATAATTGAGATAAATTTATTTGTAAATATCAAAAACAACTTTTAATTAACTTGAAAGAATTACTCACGTATTTTCACTGTCGCAAGAAATACCTAAAACTACTGTGTTTCGTTTTGTGAATTCTGCAACACGGTCCGAAAAAGCGATAATCTTTTGAAAATAATTTTTATGAATTTTTTATTTTATTTTAAAAATGGTAATTAGAATGTTATGTTATATATGTTATAGTCGAACGTCGAACGAAATAACTCACCTCAGTTGGACAAACAAGTGTAAAGTCCTTTGGATAAAAGAAAAAGACAACAACTATACAAACAAAGTAAATTCAATAAATCAAATAATTAAAATATTTAATTTTATATATTAATAAAGATAAAATCGCGAATATACATTTTCCTTTATAATCGTGAAGTGAAATATCTTTGAATTTGCCGTTTTCAACAGCGCGAGCAGTAAAATTAGGAGCGGGTTTGCGAACAACAGCAGACATTTAAACAATTATTATTCTACCAAATTTTTAACAAATTTATATATATTTACATAAGATCTACGTGCTACCATGATATCTTTGATGTCTTTCCAAACTTCGACAATATATGACTTGCTATTATATTCTATTTCAATTAACAGAGAAAGAGACGCGTAACGAATTATATTTTTTTTATGTAATTCGAAATTATTAATTCACTTGTGATGAATGGTAAAAATTACGCATAAAAAAATTTTATAAATGGTTTCAAAAAATGTAGAATTATTAGATCAAGAATTATTCAAATTCTCTTTTGAAGCATAGTTATAGTATATATTCTCAGTTTTAACGAAATGATTGAGTGAAACCAATTAAATTCATTAGTATATTTCTTCCTTTTTTTTACACTTTCAAATTCGAATATATGGAATACGAAAAAGAAATTATTTATATAACACTATTTTTTTAATGCAACACGAATAATGAATATTTAATCAATACAAATTGTTATTCCCCCCCTCATACATTGAAATTATAAAATATATTATATAAAAGAAAATCAAAAAATAAAAGCATAAATTTCTCTCTATTCATTTGTTTATTTCTTGTAAGCTTCAGAAAAATATTCTTTAGATTGACCGGGTTTGATTGACTGCAAAAAAAAAAAAAAAATTATTATTAATTATTTATAAATTATTAAAAATTAGAGGGGTGGCAAATATATATATATATATTATATACCTTTGCTCCAGCCTTCCAGCCTATAGGGCAAACTTCGCCATGTTTATCCGTAAATTGGATGGCATCGACGAGTCGAAGGACTTCATCAACGTTACGTCCTATGGGAAGATCTGCAAGAAATATTAATAAAAACACGATTAATTGAATTTCTTACAATAGAAAAATGATATGGAAAAAATAAGGAGGATAAACATACCATTAACAGTGATATGACGCAAAATGCCTTTATCATCAATGATGAACAATCCCCTAAGTGAAAATCCTTCTTCCTCAATGAGGACACCATATTCTTTAGAGATTTTGTGATTTCTATCGGACAAGAGAGGAATATTTAAATTTCCAAGACCACCTTCATTTCTTGAAGTATTAATCCATGCTCGATGACTATATAATAATGCAGAAGACAATATAATTAATAATTTTAGAAAATAATTGAGATAAATTTATTCGCAAATATCAAACAATTTTCTATTAACTTTGGTAGAGTTACTCACGTTTCTTCACTGTCGCAAGAAATACCTAACACTTCCGTATTTCGTTGTTTGAATTCATCAACACGGTCCGAAAAAGCGATAATCTTTTGAAAATAAATTTTTTAATAATTTTTTAAAAAATGGTAATTAAAATGTATGTTGCAGTCAAACGAGATGACTAACCTCAGTTGGACAAACAAGTGTAAAGTCCATTGGATAAAAGAAAAAGACAACAACTATACAAACAAAGTAAATTCAATAAATCAAATAATTAAAAATATTTAATTTATATATTAATAAAGATAAAATCGCGAATATACATTTTCCTTTATAATCGTGAAGTGAAATATCTTTGAATTTGCCGTTTTCAATACCGCGAGCAGTAAAATTAGGAGCGGGTTTGCGAACAACAGCAGACATTTTTTTTTTTTTGAAATTGTTTAATTGAAATTATTAAAATTTATTAAAATTTTGAAAATTTATTAAGTTGAAATTTATTTATTTGTTTTTTGGTTGAGGGTAAAAAAAAAAATTAGCCATTTTATATCTATCATCAAATCCGATTAATGATACTTAATAGAGTTAGGGCTTGAAAGTGCTAGAAATTATTTTAAATTATTTAATTAATTTGTAATATTACAAAGACAAATATAAGAATTAATTCAGAATGAATAAAAATTTAGTAATCCGTTATTACGTACATAAAGGAAGAGAAAATTGTTCTCTCTCTTTTTTTTTTTTCTTTACCTTATAGACTGAAACATTTCCTATCAAAATCCATCTTTCTTTCAGTTCCCTGCGTCATACGTATAAGCCTTAGCTGATTAATCATATGGTGATTATTTAGTTTATTTGCATTTAGTTTTGTGAATTTGTACTAGAACGCTAAGTGTGAATATGAAAATGCCAAAACGTGAATTTTTGTTTTAATAATGAAAATCATTCCTTAATCAAGTTAATAGGAATTTATTATTATTATTATTATTCATTAATAGAATGAAAAAACTTTGGGAATTTTTTGTTATGTAAATAATTTTATTCTATTTTATAATTAGCATCTTTTTTAAGTATTAGTAATAGAAACTTGAATAAATAATAACGAGTGTCCGATCAAACTACTCTTCTTTTTTAAACCTTGTTGCGCACATTTATGACACCATACCAAATTATTATTTGATTAATTGCTATCTTAAGTGTTAAAGTGTTATTGCCAATTATCACTTATCTCACGAATAAGAAAAGTTCCTTAATTTTTTATAAGTTTCATTAAATTAACAGACAATAGTGCGGCGAAAAGCAAAAATCAATTAGAATAATTATTCACGGAAAAGAGTATTTTAAATTTTATTTCGTTATAATTTACAGCAACGAAATAAAGTATTATAGTTTATGATATATCGAGAATGAAAAATTGCAATTACTATAATACCGATCATAGTTGGTAAAACACGAATAAACTACCCATGAAACATATGATTTAAATCTTTTCTTTATATTATTAAAAATCATGAAAAGCTCCATTGGCTATTAAGTATGGTATAAAAAAAAACTAAGACATTTTTATAAAAAATTTATTAATTTAAGTGAATTTTTGCTTTAGAAATGTGACAGTCCAACTCGCAAAATTCAAAATAAAATATCCTGAAGTCTTCAAGAATTATACAATTATTTGATTAATATGAGCATTTGGAACGTCGATGTGAATGACAACAAAACATCTTAGCAGAAAATCGCTCCTTGCTACGGAAATCTAGTTCAAAAGAAAGAATTAGCACGCGAGCCTAATAATGGTGTTAAGAAACTTTTTTTATTATTACTATTTTTTATTATTATATTATATAAATAATTATTTGTATGTAATATTCGCGATCTTTTATTTATTTTTTGCGAGATGATCTTAAAATGTTTGATTCAAACATCTTAATCGGTCATTGACAAAAAGTAACATAATGCTTTTTAACGGAAACAATAAAAAAATAGAAACTGAATAAAGAGCGTTTGTAAAATAATGGAATACTGTACGTGTTATTAAGAACTAAATTCGGAAGGCATTTTTATTATTATACTGTATATAATGCGATCTTTTATTTATTTTTTACGAGATGATTTGATTCAAACACCTTAATCGGTGCTTTTTGACAAAAACAATAAGAAGTAGAAACTAAATAAAGAACGCTTGTAAATAATGAAACACTGCACGTGTTATTAAGAACTAAATTCAGAAGGCATTTGCATATATATTTTATATATAAAATATTATAAAATTTACTTTGAAATATGTCAAACGAAAAAAAAAAAATTTCAGTTGAAGAAAAATGACCCACCAGAGGATACTTCTTCAATAACAAGTTCCATAGAGAAAGATTCATGGTTCTCAATAACAAGTTCCACAGAGAAAGATTCACGGTTCGGTTGTTACATGGCGATAAGTCCAGACGGTCAACAAATTGTAACTTTTAAATTAATTATTAATTAAAAATTAAATTATTATGTCGATTATTTCTTTTTATCTTTAGTAAATAATTAAATAAAAAAAATTTTTTTAATAAAATTTTTTTTTTAATAAATCTTTAAATAAATCTTAATAATTGCTATATAAAATAATAGAAGAGAAAGAATTTAAGTTATATGATATTACGGATTTTAGTAAATTTTCTACATTAAAATTTCGATCTGATATAATTTATGGTAAACAATATTGTTCTAATTGTATAGACGATGATAAGAACGAACGCCTTGTTGCTTTATCTTGTTTTGATGCAAAAGAAATGCTTTACAAAATGCAAAAGAAATGGCTTTACAAAACTCTTAATCAATATGATGGTGACGAAAATAATTCGATAGAAGTGACAAAAATAATTTGAAAGAATTAGGTGATGAAAACAACTCGGTGATAAAGTTAAAAATCAATCTCAAACGTGGGTTATTTCTACTACATAGAAAAGTGAAATACATACTTCTTTAGAATCAATTAGTGGTGTTATAAGATTTCTTGATAATGATGTTAAAATATCGGGATCTAAACTATTAATAAACAAAACAGTAATCATAACAGTTAATGCATCAGGAATTTACAAACAAACTTTAAATAATGATAAAATGATATAGAACAAGACTTTCAAAGACAACATCAATTTTTAAAGCCATCAATTGCCAAGATTGAACGATTCAAATTACATCAACAACTTTCAATTAGTCTTTCACGTCTTTCATGTTTAGATCGTGAACAAAAATTAGAGCTTTTGCACACGAGTATTATTAAAAATCATACGTTGAAATGTATAATCTAATTACTGGTGATTTAGAGATGTTATTTGAAAGTCAGCAGATCCCGACATAATTTTCTGAATGAAGGAATTTTAGCATTTGTCTGGGAACCATGCGCATTACATTATACTTAATGGAAAATGGTTACCACCAAACATTGGAGAAGGAATTTATAAAATTTTGGCTATAGATTTTATTGATAATAATAATAAACTTTTAATAGTTCTTGAAGAACAACATCAGGTGGGATTTCTATACAATTATTCGTAGTATGGAATTTATTTACCACATTCAAAGATCCCATACGTCAGATTAATTATTCCTCTAAAAATAGATGCCACACATCGATTAATAAATTCTCATAGAAAGATATTAGGGGTTAAATAGGGTGTGACTTCGATTAGAAATTCTCCATCGAAGGAAATGACAGAAATTAAGATTAATAACTAGCCATTTATTTTTTTTTGGCATAAATAAGATTGGAATTGACAATAGTAAATTTATTTTTATAATGATTACCGATAAAAATAAAAATAAAATTTTTTTATATAAAAATCGCTTATATTTATTTTTAAGCGATAAAAATAGTAAAAAAAATTAATTATTTACTATTTTCCATGTGATAGTAAAAAAATAATTTTTTTTTTTACTATTTTTAATAAATTTATTTTTATATTGATTATCGAAAATAAATTTTTTATAAAAATAGATCTATTAAATAGTAAAAAAAAAATTATTTTTTTACTATCGCTTATTTAAAAATTTCAGAAATTATATAAACACCCGCTATTCTTTGGTTGGCGGGTGGGTGGCGGGTGGGTGGAGGGTGGGTGGAGGTTATTCTTCTAAATGGTCATGATCATGTACCATGTATATAAATTCTTGACCTTTTTTTTCCATTTCGGGTCACGAAAATCTTCCCAAAAAAGAGTATTATTGGCAAGTTATTGAACTTAAGAACTTACCAATACTCACCAATTGGGTGAAGGTATTTTTTGCCGTGACTTCACCGAAAAAGGAATAACAATAGGGTAAAAATCTATACTATGATGATTATGATTAACAGAAAATCAAATTATGCAAAGTGTTGAACCATGTAATTCAAAAAAGGATTCTCGCCGATTATCCGTTCTACTAAAGAAACTTATTATTTTTCATAACACTGTACAAATATGGAAATGTTGCAATAAAATAAAGATAGAAAAATTAATCGAGTACGGGTATGGGTACTAGAATATATTTGGGCATAAAACTAGATCAACATGATCGAGATCGGTACTAGAATATATTTGGGCATCTAAAAATGTGGGATCTATCGGATTACAAGTACAAGAATTGAAGTCAGAAAACGAGAATTTGTGTTAAATCTTTTAATACCTTCAGCCAATATTCAATATTCTGCAGTAAAATCAATGATGATAATATGTTGGCCAAGTAATACAAATGTTCTTGAAGAGCATGTCGAACACTTTATGTATTAGAAGAGAAGAAACATATTGTAGCAGGTCATAATAATACTCAACGATTTGAAAATTTAATTAAATGTACTCGAAGATTAGTACATTACAAACTAAAGAATATTTAGATTAACAGATATTCTATATCCAATTATGAAATATCTTATTAAAGGTCATCAAGAGAGTTTAATCAAATATATTTTAAATAAGATTAATGGAAAGAATAGTAATATTCATATCCCAAGGTTATATAAATGGGTGAAAGAAGAAGATAATGATGAATCGGTGAAAGTAAAAGATAATGAGAGTTAAAGTTAAAATCAGAGTTAAAATCAAAGTCAGATTTACATTATGCCATTTTATATACTTAACGAAGAGTTGGTTTAAAATATTTGATAGATTACTGTAAGCAAAGCAATCCCTTTACTTTATGGGATTATGGATTAGATAAGTTAATTTCTTTTATCACTATCAAATTACATTAATTAATTACTATAAATTACCAAATTAATTAATTAAATTAAATTTTTTATTCTTTTAATTTTTCAAAAGGTGAATTAGTTCAAGATTTATTCAAAAATCCATGTTTTGAAATTTCTGAAGCTTACACTCCACCATTAAATATTAATCCTTTTGATCAAAACGAAGGAAATAATACATCTGTGATATGTTCTTTGGTAGTAAAACCATATCTTGCATTATCACAATCAAAAATTATTAAACTATGGTATTTCATAGTTAGGTCGCTTTTGTCTTTCATACTTCACATAGTGATCGAAAGTTTATAAGTTCCTTTATCTGATTTTACGGAAGATCTTGAAAATTATTCAATTTTTTTTGGTTTCTTTGACCATTTTTTTTTTTTGCCACGTAGAAAAGTTTTTAATGATACTAAACAAATGAGTCCTTTCCTTCGTGTTATTCATGAAGAGAAAGGTTATGAAATCCATCAGACACCTGCAATTATGGCAGTTTTAAATTTTAAATGGCAGCTACCTGTCCCATATTTTATTCGTTATATAATTTTATACACATTTTATACTATTTCATATTCTACTCCGCTTTAGCCTACCCCATATTTTTGATCACCTGTATGATTATGGACCAATAAAATTGATGAATTCAAGAGTGAAGTCGATTTTTTGTTAAAAAAAATAGTTTTTATTTTTATGAAATAAAAATATTGGCAAAACAGTGTATAAATAAAAATAAAAATAAAATAAATCATAAAAGATAACTATTAGAAAACATTTACTTTATTCTAAATACTATAGGTCCACCTTGGTTCACTATCAGCAGCTAAAAATAGTGAAATCGTGCTTCTTTTCATCCTTCATCTTCTCCTTTGATTTGTGATCTGTACCACTTAAAATTTTTCTTAGATAATCCTTATCTTCGGAAGTTAAAATACACGTGAAATATAAAATTCTTATAAAAGAATAATTTAAACTTATCATACTTAAAAAGAATATGGACATCAGGATTTCCATCTTTCTTTTTATCTTCCTTTTCAACCAGCCCGAAAAAAAGAAAAAAAATGTAAAAATATGTGTCGCAGGATAAAACAAACGTCTATATCCATCAAGTTTACTAGGACGTAACAAAATTTGATGCACGAAATAACAATATACCATCCCACAACCACCAATGACTGAAATACAGTATAATATAACAAAATTTTTTGATCAAAATTATAATATTGATCACAATGATCATAATCGGGATCTCTATCAGATATTTCACATTGCAATGTTGTATTATAACATCTAATCCCTTCATTTATTTTAGTACAATTATTATCCTTTAAGCTCTTGCAAGCTTTTTGTCAATATCCACTAAAGCCTTGTTCTTCAAAAACAACATAACCCGAACCAGTAAGATCGCAACTCTTTTCAAATATAATAGCACATTCTTTAAGAATATCGCATTTAGATGTCTTTATTATGAAAGAAAGGTTAAAATAAACAAGAACCACCACAGATAAAGAAACAATTATAATAATTAAAAAATGTCTGGTGGCCGCGTTTCGTAATTTCTTAGTCTGATGTTTAATTTCCTCGCGAATTTTATCCAGACGATCATCCTTAATAAAGTCAATACTGCACTTGATATTAAAAGTATCCGGTAAATCACAAATTTTGTCCACATCTTTTTTTTTTGATCTCATATCAAAAATAACCGCCTTTAAGCCAAGAATAACTGATGAAATACTAACAAAACCTGTTATACTATTCTTTATAATATCGAGGACTTCAGAAACAGTATTATAACCGGAACAAATGAGAAAAAAATCCAAATAATGGCACCAATAAAAGGCAAAAAGCTTAGAAATGAATATTTCCTAATTACTCTTGTTAACGAATTATTTTCAGTGGAAATTTCATGTATAATAGTTAACCACCTTTTTCTCTCGTTGTTTTTCTCAGGACTTTCAGGACTTTCAGGACTTTAAGGATTTGCAGTATCTATAGAATTTATATTAATAACATTTGGCATTTTTATGTTGTATTTCTTTGTTTTTCAAGTCAACGTTTATTTTCGTCGTATTTATATAAAACAAGAAATTTGATGAGAACAATATTAAAAATTATTTATATAGTTTGGCAACAATTTATTATAAACATGTGCATTAAATAGAATTTCTAAACGAAAGTGAGTGCATCAGTTCTATCAATGTAATGACTTTCTTATCTGTTACTAGTAAAAATTGAATGTCAATGGCATTAATAGTATCTAAAAATTATTGTATCGCATATGGGCACATAAATGGTCAACCAAAAATTGTCATTGACATTCTAATATATTATCTTCGAAGTCTGAGAACATTATTCCGGTTTTCAGGTAACCCAATAGTTTTTATGAGATAAATGCAACAGGACTCCGAGTAATCTATATTATAGTGATTGTTTATTTTATTTGCTTAAAATACCATTAGGTGATTAAGTTTACTTAACGGTTATTATTTTTATTCTAGTCATATGATTAGAATGAGTATTTTTGTATGGATAATTTTTTATATGGCACTTACCGGAAATTTTTCTAATTAATAAAGGATCCATTGCATATGATCAATATTTAAAAAAAATGAGTAAACCTTCATTATCTTACAATAAAGATCCAAATATTTTTCACAATAAACTTTAAATTTACATTCAAATTAAAATTAAATACTTTCTCTTGTAATTCTTGTAATATCTTAAAACTTTAATCTATTTATTAAATAATTTGAATTATTTAATTTTATAAAAATAATAATAATACCTTAAGAATTTTAAACAAGATTATAAATTTTTATATTTCATTTTCCCTTTGACTGTAAATTAACAAATTAAAATAATTAAAACTGATTATTTAATTCTTGTATTACAGATCTACACAAATGTTGTGTTATAATACCATGACTTTTCAATGACCATTTTAGTATAATAAACAAATTTTTTTAAGAAAAATATCTAATATTGTATATATATTTATAAGCTAATTAAGATAACACAAAAAGGTAATTATACCCGTGACCTAATCCTAACTTTGACCAATAACAACCAGAAGTACGAATTTTGTGGCTATTTTTGTAAAATCGTTATGTACAGTTTATCCGTACAGTTTATCGTCATACCTGTCATTACCTAAATTTAGGGTATGTATGGAATGTAAAAGTTCGTTACCACCTGATCGTACTGTATTGTTTCACTATCATTTATTTAGTTAATTTAGTGACTTGTCATACGAGCGATCATAATTTAATATGTAGATCAAAATCTAGACTTTCCCTATGCTATTAAACGACTTCTCTATTTTCTTTCATTATTATTATTATTAAATATCTAATATCTAATATGTCGAATAACAATAATAATAACAATAATAATAATAATATTAAAGTTTCTAAACATCCACTTATTGCTCATAAATTATCAATTCTTCGTAATAAAAATACCAAGTCTAAACAAGTCAGGGAACTTTTAAAAGAAATTGGTCAACTTCTTTGCTACGAAGCAACCCTTGATTTACTTACTATAACTTCGAAAACTGTAAGTTCTACATATGTATATTTTTTTTATGAGTAGTTTCTTATAATTCCTTTTGGACCATTTTTTTTAGTTATTATATGAGTTAATGGTAGGATTATATTCTATTTTTTTATATTATTAGTTAGAAAGTCCTTTGGGAGAATATACAGGAATTGAATTAAATCCAAAGATCGGACTTGTACCTATTTTGAGATCTGGTCTTAGCTTTGTTGAAGGTTTATTATCATATCTTTACTAGTTATTTTACTGGTTATATATTTTTTTTCTATTAACTGATTTTATTAGTTAGCTTTTTTTATCTACGACCGAGAAAAAAATGATTAAATGAATAAAATCAATAAAAAATATAGCATTCCAAGAACTTATTCCATCTGCTAGAGTTTTACATCTTGGAATTTTTCGAGAAAAGGTAATAAAATCATCATCATCATCATCATCATCACCATTATTATTTATCAATTATTTAATTTATTTCAGAATTTTATTCGTTATTATTATTATTATTATTAGGTTTCACTTCAACCAGTAGAATATTATAATAAATTACCTTCCGAACCTAATGTAGATCAAGTTATAGTTTTAGATCCTATAATTGCTACAGGAGGAACAGCCATAGCAACAATTGGAATTCTCAAAGATTGGGGAATTCAATCTAAAATTAAATTTGTTGCCGCATGTGCTTCGAAACAGGTACAATATACATAAATATATATTTATTATATTATTTTTCAATGAAAAAAAATGATTAAAAGATTTTTATTTAATTTTATTAGGGAATTGAACATGTATCTGATACGTATCCTGATGTCGAAATTTTTGTTGGTGCAGTAGATGAAGTTTTAGATGAACAAGGGTAAAAATAAAGAATTTATAATCATTAAGTTTGTTTCTATTTAAAATAATTTATTAAAATATCCGAAATATTTATATCTCTCTTTACAATTAAGGTATATTGTTCCAGGATTAGGTGATGCCGGAGATAGATTATATAACATTCCTCACGCATAATTATAATAAGTAATTAATGTAATGAATTATATATTATATACTGGTAAGTGTATAAATATTTTTCTAAAGATATTTTTCTTTTTTTTTAATTATAAATTATATTAAATAATTAAATATATTAAATAATTAATTAAATAAAATAATAAATAATTAAATAATAATTTTAATAATAAATGAATAAACAAAATAAAGTAATCAAATCACCGTGTACGGTTATATAATCAGACCAATTATATCATTACATTATTTACAAAATTTTTGAAATCAATTTCGAAAATAACAATAAAAAAAAAAAAAATGAAAAATTCAATTTTTATTACTTTCGACCTCTTCTTCCCTTCTTTTTTGAAGAACTACTACTATTACTACTAGTTGCAGTGTTAGGATTTTGTGAAGTTACTGAAGATGAAGTGCTACTACTACTACCACCACCAACATTTGTATCAGAACTTTTTGTTTCTTTTAATATTCCACTTGATGCAGCAGGTGAATGCGATGGTGGAAATTTTTGAGGATTTTCTGCTTGAATTCCAGATAATATTTTTGCTACTCGTTTAATTAATTCCTTCCCTAATATAATAAATAATTATATAATAATTAAAAAAAAAAAAATTACAGAAAAAATACTAACAAAATTTCTCTTTCTTACTTGTTGGAATCTCTTTAATAAAAGGTTTTGAAAACTCAGTAAATAATTGCACACGTACTCTTCCTGGATTTGCCCAATCTTTAGGATGTGTCTTATGTGGCTAACGTAAGTTTATTATTATTAAAAAAAAATTAAGAATTAAGATTAAAAATTAAGAAAATTAAAAAAAATTATTATTATTATTGATAAAAATTAAGAATTAAAAAATTAAGAATTAAAAAATTAAAAATTATTATTAAGGCTTTACCTCAAACACACAACATATACCCAACATTTTTACGGATTCTGCAATATCTTTAGCTAAAGGATTTTGAACAGCATTATCTTTTACAATTTTTCTTCCGTTTTGAACTGATTTTGTTGAATCAAAGTAAACAGGATATAAACATACCCAACTAATTATATATATATATATATTATATTTAAAGAATTAAAAGAATTAAAGAAATTATATATATATATATACTTGATATATATATATTTTATTTATTTATTAATTTTATGTTTGTATTTTTACGTTTTATAAGCACCATCATCCGATGTTATTTTAGTATAAGCTGGAAGAGCAGGCATCATATCTGGAGGATCCTCATCATCTAAATCCATCATAAATGGAGACTGAGGAGGAGGTGTAGGAATTCCACCCGCCATTGGGTTTCTTGATTGTTTTTTACCTTTTGGCATTTTTATGTTTATAAAAGTAAAAAGTGATTGAATAGTTATTAGTGATTTATAAATGATTAAGAACAAACGTTTTTTTGATTGGATGATTAATTTTTGATTTTTATTATTATTACCTCTTACGGAATAATTATAACGAGTTTAAATATGTTTAATATTGAAAGGTATTATTATTATTTAAGACAATATTCAAACGTAAAAAGAACAGTTCTTATTATTCAACTAATTATAACATCTTTTTATCCAATAATTTTATTAATAAATAAAATAATAATAATAATAGTGTAAGTGCGGAAACTGTTAAGAAACCTAATGACGATATTCCAAATTTTATCCACAATAATTACAATTTAGGATTTAAAGAGAGTGTTTATACTTTTATTATTTCGGTATTTATCTTCTTTTTTTTTTTTTTAAGAAAATAACGATTTTTTTCTTTATTATTTTTTTTCATTTCATAATTTTCTTTTTTGATTTTTCATCTTTCAAAGCTTGATTGGTCTCAACCATGGTTATGGGCAATTATTTCTTTTCACATTATAACTTTCTTTGCATTAATTCGTTTGAAAAATAATTTAAACACTTTGGCTATTATAACTTTCGGTTTAAGTAAGATTGATTTTCTTATCTTTCACATATCAATTATTCTTCTTCCTCTCCCCACTTATTATCTTTCTTTATTACTATTATTATTTTTTGTTGTTAAGCAATCTTAGCCGCTTTTTCAAAAGCAATAAATACCTTTGCGCATAATCACTGGCGTAAGTTTTCTCGAGAAGATTATTTCGATCAAAATGGATTCTTTATTTCAATGATATTTTCTTTTCCCATATTAGTCAACGTGATGGTTGGAATTGTGAGTAGGAAATATCCAATAACAGTAATTCTACTATTTATTCTGTTTTTAATTAATTAATTAATTATTATTATTATTTGGTCATTTTTTGTAGGTGATAACATTAAATGAGGTGTTGCATTTACTTAGAAGAGTAAAAATTGCTCAGATTAAACAACAAAAAGCAAAATTAGCCATTTCCAAGGAAAGTGATAAAAATAAATAAACTTTAAAAGGTAATTCACTATATACACTTATACGACATTCAAATTATGAATTGATAGACATCGATGTTCGTTGACATTCAAGGAAGATGATGATAATAATAAAACTTTACGAAAAAGTTATTCTTCTTCTTCATCAATTGAGAAAATCATCTCGAAATCGTTTCAGGAAATCTATCTCAATCTACATCCATTAATTCTTTTTTCTTTTTTTCTATAGTATTTTCAATATGTGTCCTAATAGTCGATAATGGATTGATTTTAAATGTTGAATGTTGTAATATTTCATAAAACCTTGGTATTTCCTTCATTCTATTATAATAATAATAATAATAATTAGTATTATTTAATTTATATTATTTAATTTATATTATTTAATTTATGTTTTTTTTAAATAAATTTATTTTGTAATAATAATTAAAAAAAAAAAACGTACGCAACATTTTTTCTGGCTGTTATTGTTTTTACAACAGATAGTGATGGTGGTGAATTTAAACTGGATTTTTTCTGTGAATTCTTATCATTATTTGACGGATCAATGGTTAGAAGACTATCCTTTAAAGAGGATAGGTTCAAAGTTTCTTCGAAAACATCCATTTGTTGAGATTTTTTCTTTCTCTTCTTCTTCTTCTTCTTATCAACATTGTTTGAGTGGTTTGAGAGTGCGAATTCTTTTATGTTCACAAAATCATTATTTAAATTTTATAAATCTTGTAAGTCTATCAATTTCGTGCAAAAAAAAAAAAAGAATATTTACTTTGCTTCCAAAATTCACGCCTTTTGTTTATTTTCTCTTTTTTGGTTTGTGGATGTGATGACTGTGGTTGTTGCTGCTGCTGTTTTATTATTGACTATATAAAAAAAAAAAATCTTTTATTTCTTTTTTGATAAATACTTTTTTTTTCCATTCGATGCATTAAAAAGAAAAACTCACTTCATTCTCCCCTTTATCTATATCATTATTATTATCATCATTATTATAAAGTGGTTGTGTCAATCCAACAATAACTTTCTCTACTTTTTTTTCCGGTACAGCGAATTTTCTATGATGAATCGAAATTCTTTGTTTTTTAACTTTTGGCTATTCATTTATTGGAGATTTTGATATTTAAAATAAATATATATTATTATTATAATATAATAATAAATAAAATATATCAAAAAATTTTTTGTAAAAATACCATTTTTTTTTATTTTTTTTTTTTTTTAAAAAAAAAAAATTCTAAAATCTGCGGATTTTAATATCTTTGATAATCATTAATTAAAAATTTCGTGTAACAATGATTAGAAATGAAAGTCAAGATTTTCATCCCAACATCAAAGAGTTGCTTGAGTTGTTTATAATTAAAACGGAAATGATTCAAGACAAACTGATAGTATTAATAGGTAATTTTCTATCTTTTTTGTCAAGAAGAAGAAGAATCATCATTCAGATCAATGTTTGACAATTATAATAAATTTAGTGACTATTTATGACTTATATATAAATTCATAATCTACTTATCAAATGTAAATTAAAAAATTATAATTGAAATACATATTTAAATAATATTTAAGTCAATAGTACTAATTATATTTGTCTTTCATTTCCAAAAAAAAAAATCCAATAAATAAATCTTTATTGATATTAATTACATATAGTACTCTTAAATTTCTCAAACCAAAATTAAATAATTAGATCAGTTATTTAAGAGAGTAATATAACACCTTTATTGCATCATTGTGTTAATAAAAATTTATTAAAAATCTAAATTGTTTTAATAATAAATTATAATTACTGAAGAAAGAACCATAAAGTTTTAAAAAAAAAATAGAAAAATATTTTATTTATTATATATATACAAAATAACAAAACAAATAAATAAATAAAATTTGACAATAAGAATAATTTAACTTACTAAATATTTGCATTTGATAAATGAAAAAAGTTCTAGTGTGCAGGAGGGTGTGCATCATATCTTTCATCCTTTAAAAATTGATCTTCTAAGGATGTTTCAAATTCTGCTGCTGCTTCTTCAGATTGTGAATCATCAGCTTCATATTCAGCTAATTCTGCTGAAATATCTTCATCTAAATTAGGTGGCTTAAATCAAATAAAGAAATTATGATTATAATTCTCACATGTTCTCATAAAATTCTTTATATATACATTAACATTTTTCATTAGAAAATACCTGAAAAGGTGTTGGTAGTCGAAGTTCTTTAACCATACCCAATTCGGCGCCGGGTTTCTTTATATTACATAAAATATAGAATATAAAATAAAGAATAATGTAATGAGTTGTTGAGTATAACGAAGGTATAATAATAATAAAGTAGATGAGAAATTTTCGAGACTCATTCAATAATTAAATAACATTAATAAAAATAATGAATAATTAAAAAGTTAAAAATTAAAATTACCTCAGGACTTGGCTTATAACCCTTAATTTCTTTAACATATAATTCTCGAACAATATCTTATTAATGAATCCAAAATTATTATGTTTTTTGAATGTAAAAATTAAAGTGATAATAGTGATAATAGAATTATTTCTTTATGTATGCACCTTTTGCGGAACTCGATTGAACTGAAAAAGCTCGTGATATCAAGGGTGTATTGTGCTTAATGCGAAAGTTTTGCTGTAAAGGACGACCCTATGTTAAAGCAATAGTTCCATGACGTCAAATTTTTTTTTCGAAATGCTGAAATGTTTTTAAGGGTACCTGCTAGTGGATTGTTATAATTGTTATAATTGTTTATTCCAAAATTTCTTACAGACCACTAAATTAGAATAACGAAACAAAATGCGTGTCCTTATAAGCATTTTTTTTTTTGTCTTTAATCGATAAAAAAAATCTTTTTTTTTTTCACTTCACTTTTTATCTTTTTTTTTTTTTAATATAATTTTAATATATAAAAAGAAAATCAATTTTGGTATTCCGAAATTTGATTGGTCATTACGATTTAGAATCCAGCGGGAGTCTTGCGATCGTCATATTATATATTCTTTACTATCAGTAGCCAACGACGATGATAGGTAGACGACTTGTATAATAACTAGTATATTCAAGATACCAAAATCGCTACGTAAATGGCTCACGAACAATCACAATCTAACAACTCCCGTAAATCACCAGGAACGTCTAAAATGGAATTTTCAAATCAAACTCAACAAACTGTTCAACCAACGGAAGTTAATGGTACTCAAAAATATCAAATATCTAATAAAGATTGGGATTCGTCACATCAAGTACAACGTGGCACTCAAGGAATCAATGTTAATAATATGAATATAGTATCAAATCTAAATAATTCTCAAGGTTTTGGTAATGAAAGTTTCGTTACGACACCATCAAAAAGAATTGGAAATACTGATTTGGGAACCACGACAGGGTTTCAAAATGCTTGTAATATTGGACAATTTGTAGTTAAAATGCCACCAGGTTTTAACGGTATAAATAATGGAATAACAAGCAATACTTGCAATTCAAATAATAATAACAACAATAATTCATGTAATAATAATAATAATAATAATAATAATAATTCAAATAACATAAGTAATATGAATAATGGGGAATTTAATAATAATAATAATAACAATAATAATAATAATAATAATAATAGAGCATCATTTAGTCATGGTTCAGATAATGTACCGATAGCAATAGGTTCAGGTTATGGTGGTCGTAGTAATAGTATTTCGGTAATTCCACAAAGTTCTCATATAGAAGAAGGTTTAACATTTCAGCAAACACAACAAACCTTATATGGACCCTCTTTTGGACATTCATTCCTTGCCACATCACCTCCTCCACGAAATAATAATAATAATAATAATAATAATAATAATAATAATCTAAATATTGGAGGTATGCATTGCATTATTATACATTATATTATATTATTACATATTACATGATTTATAAGAGGATAATTATTTTATTTTTTTTCATTTATCTCAAATATATATAACTATAATAATGAATATATATAATAATAATGCATAGGAAATTATGAAACTCCGTATCTAGATCCTACGATTAAAAATTCACTTTCTGCGTTTGCTGAAGATGATGATCATGATTGGGAGAAAGTAATGCGTACTCCTGGACTTGAAGATTCACCAAAGGTTTGTGAAATCCAATCAAAATTTGTTATTCTATTAAAAAATTTTTTAAAGGAAAACTTTTTTTTAAAAAAAAAAAATGGAGATCGGGAGGTAGATCAATAAAGAAGAAATGAATAACTATTAATTATATTGATCATAAAACAAAGGAATCCATTGTCTATAAACCTCTACGATCAACACAAAGTGAAATAAATAACAATGGTTACCCCACAAATAATGTTACCACTACAACGAATTCCCCATGGGCATCAACATCATCAACGATAACAACATCATCAACATCATTCCCTTCTCAAAATCCATCAAATCTTTCATCCGTACAAACACATGTTTTGAACAACAATAATAATGGATATTTTCCACCTCAATTACCTCAATTACCTCAAACTAATGATCAATATTCAGGTTATAACGGTGGAATATTTGGACCCAATATTCGAAGATCTTCTACAATAAATAATGTTCAAAGTAATGGTATCATACAACATCAACAGCAACAACAGCAACAACAAGATGATGCAAATCGTAAAAAATTTGATCACGGATTAGGAGGTCCTTTAGATTATTATGATCCTTCTAATTCTGCTGCTGGATCAATTACACCTACATCTCCAACGAGTTATTTTCCTCCACAACAAATGCATTTTCCATTTAGATCTTTTGGAAATGCTTTACAACAACAACAACAACAATCATCACAACAATCACAAACGCCTTCACAACAACAACAACAGCAACAACAGCAGCTTCAAATCCAACTACTTCAACAGCAACAACAAATAGTACTTCAACAGCAACAGCAACAACAACATTTACAACAACAGCAACAACTACAACAACAGCAACAACTACAACAACAGCAACAGCAGCAACAACAACAACAACAAATAACTCAACATAATCAATCTCAACAACCTTTACAATCTAATCACAAACAACCATCTAATCAACAATCCAATCAATTATCACAACCACCTAAACAAAAACAATCATCACAACCTGATCTAGCTTCAACATTTCGTCTTCCATCTTGGAGCACATCTGTAGCATCAGAAGGACTACAACGTCGTAGATTAGATGGAAATGGTGATGTAGTACCAGATGATGTTATTTCTGGAAGTATGGCTTTATATGATCCAAGTAATGATGATATTATACTTCCACAACGTGATACGGGAAAATTCACTTCAGGAAATGAAAAAAAGGACTTTGGACATGAATTAAAATTAGACATTCGTGGTCTTCAGGCACCAATTATGACTGCTCCTCCTGGATTGGAAGGATATCGTAGTCCGACTTCACCACTACAAGGTGGTATAATTACATCTCCATCACTTAATGCGGATCACATCGATCAATATTTTAGTCCAACATTGGCAGGTCTCACCTCGCCGACGATAACTAATGTAAATGTAGTAAATCAAAACATTATACTAACAGGTGTTCGAGATGATCTTACAGGAAATACTTCGTCGACAAATCAATCTATGGCTGAATTAACAAATACATTGAACAATATGAATATTATTAGTGGAGTAAATGGCTCTGAAATAGGTAAAGTAACTTCCCCTGATCTTTCAAATGTTCAAGTATCGGGATCTTCGGGGGCACCTAAACAGCAATTATCATGGGCAGCAATTGCCAAAACCGCTCCCAAGCCCCCTCCAGTCAATACTTCCCCTGAGGTATTAGGTACGGTTGCTGGTGCATATAGTGCTGCTATTTCACCGACCTCCACTATTTCACCTACCTCGTCATATGCAGCCCGTCCAATGTCTGCGCCTACCGGTGCATGGGTTGGTAAAACCAAAATCATCGGAACTCCCTCAAGTAATGGAATGAACAATATTTTTGCTACTCCGCCACCAAATCCCGGGCTCGTGACACCAACTGGTATGAGTTCTATTCCCATTTCCACAGCTCAAAGTGTATCGAAGAAAGATATGCTCGCATGGATTGCTGCAAAAGGTTATAATCCTAAAAATTTTAATGGCAAACCGATACATGTAAGATTCTTTATACTACAAAAATCATATAAGTTTACAATTAAATGGAATATTATATATTATTTACTATTATTTACCATTATTTACTATTATTTCTATTATTTACTATTATTTACTATTATTTACTATTATTTCCTAAAATAGGCAAGATTCTTTGTTATAAAATCTTATACAGAAGATGATGTGCATAAATCATTAAAGGTTGGTTATTAAGTTCTATTCGATTTTTTTTAAATGAGATAATGAATCTTTTTCATTATTGAAATTTTTTTTTTAATCATCATCAATTAGTATGATATTTGGGCTAGTACTGAAATCGGAAATCGTCGTTTGGATAAGGCATTTCGTGAAAGTGCTGATAAAGGACCAATTTATTTATTTTTTAGTGTAAATGCTAGGTGAGTTGTTATTTTAATATTATTTTTTATATTATTAATTAATATTTTACCTTCTCGCAACATCTTATTGGATTATTTGTTTCTTTAGCGGACATTTTTGTGGTATGGCACAAATGCTTACACCGGTAGATTATACTACCAGTAGTAGTGTTTGGGCACAAGATAAATGGAAAGGTGTATTTAAAGTTAAATGGATATTTGTAAAAGATATTCCTAATGGACAATTAAGACATATTCGAGTTGTGTATGTATCATTTAAATTTTTATCGTGATTTTTTTTTTTTTTTGCTTTATTTTCATATAATTAAAAAAAATAAAAAATAAAATAAATGATACATTAATTTATGACAAATTTTTTCATATTTAATACTTACATAAATAATTTATATATGATTTTAACACAGGAATAATGAAAACAAACCAGTCACGAATAGTCGCGATACTCAAGAACTTTTTCCTGAACCAGGTCGTGAAATGTTAAAAATCTTTTTCGAATATCGAAGTAAAACTTCTATACTTGATGATTTCGAATTTTATGATAAACGTCAAGTTGAAATGAGGAAAGATGGTATCGCACCATTGGTAGGACCAACAAGTCCTGGAGTAGTGACTACTAATCCTTATGCTAATCTTACACCTTTACCGGGAACAAGTTCAAATACAAATACAAACATTGGAACAATAGTTAAAGGTAATAATGGGAATGGTAGTGTTGACAATCATAATGATGATTCAGATAATTAATTAATTAATTTCGATTTTTCGATTTATGAAAGATACATATATATATATTGACATTTTATACAAAATGAACTTTTTTAAGAACTATTATCATTAGAATTTTTTTTTTTACGAACATTTTTTTCTTTATTTTATTATCTTTAATTACATATATTTTTTTTTTTTTTAAAAAAAAAAATTAATCACAAACGGTAAATAATTTCGTTTTGTGCATACAAACACGACTATTATTATTATTATTATTTTATTTTTATTTTATTATTATTATTATATCAAAAAAAAAGACTTTCATATATTTTTAGCAATTTAACAATCAAATATTTTATTATTATTATTATTATATCAAAAAAAAAAAAACAAAAATTACAATGATATATTATTACAATGAGTTAATATTTAATATTGGGAAAAAAAAATCAGTTAGTAGTACATAATAGACTTTATTTAAAAAAAAAATAATAATTACTAGCTGGATTGGGAATATTCATGGGACTTTTTTTTTTTTTTGATTTTTTTTTTTTTTAAAGTAATTGGATACATACATAGTAATTATTTTTTTTTATTTCTTCACATTATACCTTCCAAAGTACATTGATATTTTTATAAGCTTGATATGTATTTGAAACTATTCTTATTTTTCAAACAAAGATAAAAATACATTTTCTGAAAATGCATCAATTACTATATGTTTTTTTTCAATTGAATGTCTATTAAATCCTAAACTATTTTTTAACCAAATTATCATCACATCTCTATAAAAGGATAAGGTTTCTTTCAAAGGTTTATCAAGTATATAACAGTGTAAATCAAATTTATTGTTTTTGTAATTTTTTCATTTGTGGCTCTGAATTTTTTTTTTTGTATTGTAAATTTTAAAACAAAGTAACAAGGAAAAGTACATATAGTAGTTATTGAAAATAATAATAAAATGTCACGTATATTATTTATAATTGATAATTCAATAATTATAATTTTATTGGTTAAGTTGATGATCAGTTCCAGGTGACAAAATTGAATGTATATCATAAGCAGGTGATATAATCGAAGTGAAACACATAACTTTTCAAATTTTGAAAAAAAAATATAATTATTTTTTATTTTTTTTTTATATGCTTTGAATGAAATTATCATTTTTTTTTGCATATCATAAACAAAAAAAGAAAAAAAAATACAAAGATGATGCACGTTTCTAACAACTAACATATTGTTGAATAAAATATAATATTATATAAAATATTATAAAAGGAATCTAACTACATAAAAAAAAAAAAGTTTTTTTTTTTTTTTTTTTTTTCTCAATTTCCAATTGCTTAAAAAAAAACCAGTCCCGCGGTCTATTAACCAAAAGCAATGGATCATAACACACATATATATGTATAATATTATATATATAGAACTAAGCAACATTAAAGAAAATTGGATAAAGATAAGTTCAAAAAGTTCTCTATAAATAAATTCAATTACGATCATATAAATTGCATATATATATTATATATATTCCACTATTAAGGTGTATTTATATAGATATATTATTATTAAAAAAAAAAAAAAAAAAAAAAAAAAAAAAAAAAAAAAAAAAAATATATGAAAAATAATAATAATTATAATTTAAAAAAAAAAAAAAAAAAAAATACTATA